GTGTGTGTGTGTGTGTGTGTGTGTGTGTGTGTGTGTGTGTGTGTGTGTGTGGCAAAGTCAATAAACATGAAATGTAAAAGGAGAGCACACAAAGTAAATAAATACATAAAAAAACACACACACAGCAGCATTTTATTAACTAAATTAAATTGGCGTCGAGCGAGTTTTCTTGTTTAGTTACTTGTGTCTTTGGCAGGCAGGGGGGATTGCTATACCTTGGCGGTTTGTCTCGAACACCTTCCCTAACAGTTGTAAGACTTTGATTATTTAATTCCTGACTGCCGCAATTTTCACAGATTTTTAATTAGTTTACTTTGCTCATTCGAGCAACGCCAATGCAAAACCCGACCCCGACCCCGCACTCAGTCTCAAGCTGGCTTTGATTAAATTTTCCAGTGTCATATTCTTAAAACAACACTACGTTACACGAAAAGAATAAGAAGGTGCATTGCAATCGAACATATTATCTTTTCTAAAAATAAATTTGGTATTGAATTAGGGATTTGAAAATATTTAAGATTTCTTGTATGGCTAATTAACAATCAAGGAAATTGCAATGAAACAAAACTAATTAGGTTTGAAAATATGCTTTTAAGAAATCTAGTTGTCTTACTAACAATATCAATATCATCTGATAAAATCTACGAAAAAAAGTATAAATAATGTTTCGAATAGATTTTAAACTCTTTCACTCATAAAAGTATAAAAATAGGAGTAAAGCTCACCTAAAACATTGAAAATATAAAATTTAATCACTTAAACTAAATTTTATTTTTATTGGTCCATTGCATTGTAGTTTATGATTATCAATTCAAATAATTTTAATTAAATTTCTAATTTATTAAAGACTGTTCTCTATAACTTATCTATCATTTAAATCGCTGCTGTGTAGTGTAATGAAGTATATATTCGAATATCTCGGCACCAAATACTTACAGCACATAGCAAATGACGCCCACGCTCCACATATCAGTGCCATAGGAGATGCAGTCAAAGTTTACAACTTCGGGCGCCACGAACTCAGGTGTGCCAAAGAGAACCTGAAACAGAGGCATGCTATATAGATACCCTGTATAAACGGCAATCAATCGACACTCACTCGTAGGCGCTTATCGGGATCGAATTTACGCGCCAGTCCAAAATCAATGATCTTAATGCGATTTCCCTTTTGTGACAGTACCAAGATATTCTCGGGCTTCAAGTCCAAGTGGATGATACCATTGCCATGTATAAACGCCATAGCCTCGCACACCTGACGTATAAAGACACGACACACGCGCTCTGTGAGAACAAACTCGTCGTCCACAACACGATCAAAGAGCTCGCCGCCTTCAATGCTAAGAAGTCAATAGATTAATACCGTATATAGGTTATTAAATGTATTTTTTTTAAATATATATATATTTACATAACAATAGAACATAGAACATACAAAAAGCATGCAGATAAAGCCAAGACCACCGTTAAAGAAGCTAATTTAACTCTCATTTAATTGCTACGTTTTAGACTCGATTCAGTTGGCTTACCTGCCCCAGCATAAGTCTATTTATGTTATTTACAAGAACTACGCATTGTTTGACATAACACGAAAATCAGATAATACATGAACATCAACCTACATGGAAAAGTAAAATGCAGCAACTAGACCTCAAAGCATTTAACAATTGGTGAGAAAAGAAAATATCGTTTATCACAAGTCAGTTCCTGCACTTTGCTTTAAAGTGGTACATCTACTAGATAGGTTATAATCTACTTGCGTTGGGCATACTACTGTGTATATATGAATTATTTGTAAATCCATATACTAGACACTCAGAGATGGTAAAGTCAGGTAAAGTCGCTAAAGTTCTAAAACTTTGGCGTAGAAAAACTCTTTAATTTTTAATTTTATGCCTCCCAACTTAAAATATCGTTGTAAAGCACTAAAATATTTATAAATATCTATATATATATATATGTACATACATACATATAGCTCGTTAATTATATACCCGAACATACCCAATATCATATTACTCATTTATGCTTCAAAGATGGCAATTTTAAGAAGATAAGCATTTCAAACTAGAGTTGTAACTACTTCGCTTACTCTCTCAAATTTACTGAATACATGTAAGTCGTTGATTTGTAATACTTATGCCTTTGTATTGACGCCAAGTTGCTTGAACATATGGATAAATTATTTATTGAACGTTTAAGCAGGGATATACTTGAAAACGTCGTGGTTCGAGCTCTATAATTATAGGATGTAAATTTTCCACATTTGCCATTATTCTTTAATTTAAATTTTGAGCATACTGACAATTAGTCGTATAGTACATAAATTTGACAGAAGTATTTTGTACATATTAAATGAGATATAAAGTGCTAATAGTTTCTCATGCTATAACATTTAGCCCAACCTATCTCCGGTCTATTTATCCACTGCCTGCCTACAGTCCTAGCCAGAATACCTTTCCTAGTATCAAGAGATGAAACATTTAACAATTGTTTATATCTGTTTCAAATATCCTTTTTAATATGCATCGAACACATTTGTTCGAAAGGTAAATAAAAAATGCACTGGCAATAAACTATATGTACTTTTACAAATTTTCATTCAATTTGAAAAGGAACAAAAAGGCACTTAAAGGCCAAAGTCAATCGGCTTATTTGTGAAATTTTCCAGCTGCAATTCTCATGTGCAGTAATCGATGTGACTTATTTGACTTTTATGCAGCTGCTGAATACATATTTTTGTCAGTTGACATAAAATATGAAATATGAATTATTTACAGAGCAAAAGGGACAAGTAGAAAAGCTCCATGGCAATGCCAGAAATTCAAATAAATATTATTGTTTGTGGAAATAAACTGCAATTTTCATTAGAAAAGCAAATGGACAATTTACAAAACGAGTTTGCTGTTTGCAGTTTGTCAAGGATTTTTGTCTTGGCACAAATATGTTTGCTGCATTTTATGAATATGCAAAGCGACGAAACAACTTGCGCAAGTAAACAATTAAGACTCCAACACAAAACATCAACAACAAGAACTGTCAGCATTGTTGTCGACTGTAGAACAGGATAGCAGAACAGAACAACACTTTCTTAGCCATGGAAATTAATTTCAAAAGTAAAAAGTCAAGTGAGCTGCACAAAAGGCTCGTAACTTTATTGTCTTTTTGGCTCCGCAAGTGTTGCCGTTTTATTTCTGTGGCGAAAGAGTGCCCACTCCAGGCAAATGGGTCAAGGCCATGGCTTAATCAGTGTACCTTTGCCTGACTCAAATCCTTTATGGCCCATAGAATATGGCCTACCTACATTTTTATTAGAGACCTAATATGGGACACAGCTAACTGTGACGAAGTTTTGTTTTCACATTGACTACTGAATACCCTCAAAGTTTTATTATGGACAATTACAATCGAAATATGGAATATAACAATTTGATTTTAAATCAGAAATCATCAAAAAATCACAGCTAATTTATTTACTGATAATAGCTAAGCACTAGATCTACAATGGTTTTGTATTGACCGACTTAAATATATCTACTGCATCCAAAGATTCAGGCTGATGCGTATTTATGACTCATCTCTTTTTCAAGTCTAAAATATCTCCATCCGAATAAGTTCATATAAATTATATCTCTCTGGTCTGGTAGTTTCCTTCATATAGATTTGATTTCCCAATGTTCTTCTTTGTTTGCTCTCTCTTTTTATACCCTGAACCCATTGAAAATGGGAAATCAGGGTATAATGTTTTTGTG